TGTCAGTTGTGAGGCCTGAACTCTGGGCCTGAGTGCTATCCCTCAGCTCTTCAGTTCAAGGACGCCTAGCACTCTACCACTTGAGCCACAATGCCACTTCTGGCTTTTTCTGCTTATGTGGTACTGAGGAATCAAATCCAGGGCCTCATGCATGCAAGGCAAGCACTCTACCAGTGACCCACCTTCCCAGCCCATTATACTGATTTTTTAAAAGGTGTTTTTTAAAATTTTTGCTTTGTTTAGATTTTAAGAGTATACAGAATTCATGTTTTATCTTTTGGCAGAGATGTCATATATCAAAAATCATTTTTGTAGTTTTAAGCCTGTTGGAAAGGTGGAGATTGGGAGTATCAGGGTTTGAGACGAGCCTGGGCATAAAGTTATCAAGACCTTTATTTCACCCAACAATCTGGGTGTGGTGGTGTAATCCAAACTATTCTGGAGGCATGGGTAGATGCATTGAGTAAGGGGTAAGACCAGGTTGATGGCTCATGGAATGTATAGGTAGGAGTCTGTGGTAGTAGGTCAGCTGTGGCTCCAAAAAACAACAGAAACAGTAAGACCTATCTAAAAAATAAGTAAGGTTAAAAATGCCGAGAGTGTGGCTGAAGTGCACAGTTCTTGCCAAAACCATGAGTTAAAGCCTATCAGTGCCACCAAAACCAAATAATTTATCCAAATTAGCTAATATTTTTTCATAGACTTTAGCAACCTAATATACATGTGATAATTTGAAAAGTCCTACTGGGTTAAAATGTTTCAGCCACCAAATTTCTTTCTTTACAAGGTTCCTCCTAGTGTTAATTATTTCAAAAGATTTTTTTTTTTTTTGTCGGTCATGGGGCTTGAACCCTGGGCCTGCCTGAGTGCTGTCCCTCAGCTCTTCAGCTCAAGGTTTAACTTTACCTATTGAGCCACAGCGCCACTTCTGGTTTTCACTTCTGGTTTTCTGGTAGTTTATTGGAGATGAGAATTTCACGGCTTTTCCTGCCCACTCTGGCTTTGAACTATGATCCTCACATCTCAGCCTCCTAAGTAGCTAGGATTAGAGGCATGAGCTGGAAGTTGGTGGCTCACACCTGTAATCCTACAATCCTCCTCAAGAGGCTGAGATCTGAGGATTGTGGTTCAAAGTCAGGCAGGCAGGAAGTCTGTGAGACCCTTATTTCCAAATAACCGCTAGAAAAATGGCTCAAAGTGGCAGAATACTAGACTTGAGCAAAAGATTTCAAAGACAGCGCCCAAGCCCTGAGTTCAAGCCCCCATGACTGAGAACAGAACAAAACAAAAAGATGACACTGTTTCAGCACTGAAATGAAAAGTTACTATGAACGCAGAAAAGCATTTCATCTTACTACATTAAGTATATTTGTCATTCATGAAAAAAAAATTTGTAGTTGGAGAATGACCTCGGTTTGGTGGTTTCAGAAAGCAAGCTGAGTGCTTAATTATTTGCTCCTTCATATTGTTATGGTTGTATTTACATTATGAAATAGGAGACATTGGATTCTTTGATTTAGTAGCTGCCTGTTTATATATTCTTTCCTTTTTCAGGGCAAAGAACAGGAACACACATTTGTTTTTAGACTGGATCATCCAAAAGCATGCAAGCATTTATGGAAATGTGCTGTGGAACATCATGCCTTCTTCCGCCTCCGAGGACCTGTCCAAAAGAGTTCTCATCGCTCTGGATTTATTCGACTAGGATCACGGTTCAGATATAGGTTAATTTTAATAGCTGTTTTTAGTATTTTCCCTCCATTCTTGCATACAGGTTACAGTGTAAATGTTGGATTGACCTCATTTCAGAGGTGGAAACCACAGTATAGAAAAGTAAAATGCTTTGCTATTGGTTAAAAGAAAAATTAAAAGTGGTATTTATTATAATTTCTTGACAAGATGGAACATTTTAGTAATTGTGTTACTGATTTTTAGAATCACTCTTAATGTTTACTAAATGTAATAACCAATGTTGATTTATATCTATCTAATTCTAACAGCTAAGTATCATAGAAAAAGGGTATCTTGCACTGAATGAGATACGAATCTGAATATTTGTGGTCTTGTAGCCTGATATTCCATTATTCTTATAGACTCCTGTTTTTTGTTTTCATGTGTTAGAAATGTTTTTGTTTATGCTACATCACAATAGATTATTAGTTTTGAGATTTCAGCATGCCATGTGAATGTTAAAGAAGGAATGGTTGATACTAGTAATATGATAAGTCAACCATGGAATTCATGTAAGACACTTCTGTTTTAAAATTAGGAGGCTATTTCTTAACAGAATTTAAATGGAAAATAAGCAAGATAATAGTTTTAAAATTTTTTTTCTGGAAGGTTGGGTATATTGACTCCACCTATAGTCCTAGCTGCTTGGGAAGCTGAGATCAACATGATCTCAGTTCCAAACAAGCCTGGAGTTCATAATCCTCATCTCAGCCAATAAAAAGCTGATCCTGATAGTGCATGTTGATTATTTTAGCTATCTAGGAAGCATAATAGTGGATTGTAGTCCAAGTTGGTGTGGACAAAATAAACAAGACCCGATTCAGAAAATAACAAAAGTAAAACTGACTGGGGATATGTGGTTCAAGTGGTAGAGGTCCTGAGTTCTCAGGACCACCAAAAAAATCCCAAAAAAGTTCCTGGAAAATTATTCTGGAAAGCATATTATTAAAAGTAACTGGGAGTTTTGCACTTTACAGTGAGGAGTTTGAAACAGAGTTCCATAGGAACATAGACATTTTGACATTAGACATAGACATTAGTAAACTTATTAAGTATGTTTGTGGATGATAGACATGCTTAAGGAACAAAACCATCATATGTTGCATATTTCATGAAGGCTTAAAGAGTGTAAGAATGATGTGGTGAAAAGGGACACTGAAATTATTATTAGTAGCTGCTAGTAGTTATTTATTATTATTATTGTTTTGGTTGTGGGGCTTGAACTCTGGGCCTGGGTGCTGTCCCTCAGCTCTTCAGCTCTGGCTTTTTCTGTTTATGTGGTGCTGAGGAATCAAACCCAGGGCCTCATGCATACAAGGCAAGCACTCTACCACTGAGCCACCTTCCCAATCCTGTTAGTATTTAGAATGACATTCAGGATGTTTCTTTGAAGGGGAATCTTGATGTTCTATTACTTATCTGTATTTAGTTAGCTACTGTAGACCTTAGATTCTCTTATTCTTGTTATGTCTCATTTACTTTAGTGGGAAAACTGAGTATCAGACCACAAAAACTAATAAAGCAAGGAGATCAACATCCTTTGAAAGAAGACCAAGCAAACGATATTCTCGACGAACTTTACAAATGAAAGGTGAGTGCAGCCCGGTTTCAAAGGTCTGTTCTTCCTTGACAATTAATCACATATTGTGATATTTACTTGAGGGAAAGTTCCTTGAAGTTCCTTAGTCTATTCCAATTAATTCAGGTATCCTTATGTAATACATGTCATAAACACTGGGAAAAATAGCCTATAATGCCAACTGAGATTAAATTTTATATTAATCCTCATTCAGATGAGCATAATTTGAGATTATTGTCAGTTTTTGTTTGTGTTCAGTATTTTAGTGTGCCTTTAGAGTAAAATGTTTTTTCTTAGAAGTGTTTTTAAAATATTAGCAACTTTAACATTAAGAATTCTATTAGCTACAGTTTTTTTTTTTTTTTTT